CCTTAGCCGGTTGAGCTATAGGCGCCGAGCCTCTTTTACTATTTTTAATGACACTCTCAAACAAAACTGATAACTTCTCCTTCCCATGAAAAGTCCCTTTAGAAAAAAGGAGATAAAAGAGAGGAAGAAGGCAGCCTTATATAGCATTTCCCCAAGTCACCCAGGTCTGGCTGACACAATCTCTCCCCACGGGATTTTCTATTACTGCAGGTACAACAGAGTATTAGCATCCATGCCAGCCCTGACTGTCACAAGCATTGTGGGCAATAATCCCTTACTTTATTCCTGCTGGTGCGCCAGAACTTCCCCTGTGGCCAGTCCAGGTGGGGACACCAGACACGGCTCCCAGACACTGCTGACGAGAGAGCCTCAGTGCTTTCAAGGCATCCTGGGCCACCCGGTTGGCTTCTGCTTCCACCAGCACGTAGTCTGGGCTAGCTCCATCCATGATGGCATCGTGCTTCATGACACTGTGCACACCAACTAATGACAACAAAGGAAACGGCCAAGTGACAGCTCAGTCTGCACACAAGGTACTTTTCTCCTCTATATGATCTAGTGCTATGATAGTTGGAAAATAATAAACATTTTTAGGTGCTTTTTACCAAGGGGATGCTATGGCTCAGAAATTTGACAAATGCCATTTCTAGTTACACTCACAACTACCCTGAGGCAGAAATAGCCACTTATCCCTATTTAAAAGTAACTGACGCACAATGTTTTAATCAGAACTTTAACATTTAACCTCTTTCTTGCTACATGGAAAGGATGCAAAAACCTTCTCTCAATAAACTTTTTTGTAAAGGGAAAAATATAAATGAAAATGCTAGAATTTCTAAAAAATAATAACCATGAAAATCCTACACCCCCAAATCACTGGGATACATTTAATGTAGTGTCAGTGGCAAATCCGAATCCTCCGTGGTCTTGAGCAACTGTTGCACCTACTCCGAAGTTTTCTCCCTTAATAAGTTAGCCGTCTGCTTTTCTTCTAGGATGCCTGCCTCTAGCCATACTCCTCTCTCTCTCCCCCATGATCTGTCACTTTAACCTCCTGTGGTTGGAAAAACCAGGTCAATACCACACATAAAGAAAGTGCCTATTGGTATTCAGGTGGAGCACATCTCTTTAAAGCACTGCACCCCTCCTGTAAGTGGCTATAAGTCAAGTACTATTATTTTCCTCACACCAAACACAAACATTAACCCTAAAAGGATCAAAATCTAAATGTAAGAGCTACAACTACTAAAAGTTAGAAGAAAACACACATGTCCTTAGTCATGCAAAGCATTCTTGGGTATGGCAATAAGAACACAAATGACACAAGACCAAAAAACAGAGATTTACCTTAATAGCATTAAAAACAATTTTGTTGGCTCGGCGCCTATAGCTCAGCGGCTAGGGTGCCAGCCACGTACACCAAAGGTGGTAGGTTGGAGCCCAGCCCAGGCCTGCCAAACAATGACAACTACAACCAAAAAATGGCCTGGTGTGGTGGTGGGTGTCTATAGTCCGAGCTACTTGGGGAGCTGAGGCATGAGAGTCGCTTAAGCCCAAGAGTTGGAGGTTGCTGTGAGCTGTGATGCCATGGCACTCTACCCAGGGCCACAGCTTGAGGCTCTGTCTCAAAAAAAAAAGGAAGTATTTTGCTCACAGGATAACATCAAGAAAGTGAAAGTCTTCAGGCCAATACATTTCCAATCTGAGTTCGGAAGAAAAGCACTGCTGGGTGACCCCCACTGTGCACTGTCAGTGAAAGGCTACTACTAGAAACGGCCTCCTTATTTCTGTTGCTAGCACCCTGTGGAAATGCAGCACAAGGATTACCTGATTTTTTGAAAAGCTTTTCCAAAACATAATCATCGTTGCTTTGTTCCTTGGCCTCACTCTTGTCATTTTCTTGCTTCTGGTACCGCCTTTTCTTCACCAGGTGTGGAATTCGAGTTCCTTCAAACCTGGCGTCTCGGCGATGCTTAGAGTTCTTAGGCTTTTGCTTCTGTCCCACATGTTTCTCCAGAGTCCCTTCTTCTGCCATGCCCTGATGTTTTGTTTTTGACTTATGCTTATAAAAACTATTTTCCATTTGTTCATTCTCACAAAGAGGCTCTGTGTGAACCTGGCTACTTCCTCTTTTAGTAGAAAGATCCTGCTGTTCATCAAGGCTTTTTTCACCAGATGGCCTGGATATGTCACCGATCCTTAAAGAATCTGAACATTCCCCATTTCCACTAGTCGCTGATGACTCCTCTGGTCTAGACACTGTGTTTGCCTCTTCTCCAAGCCTACTGCTGCTAGTTACACTGCTGCTCACGTGAGGGTCATCTTTTAAAAGATCTCCTTGATTAGAAGTCACTGCATTTACTTCGGCTTCTACGCTCTTAGGTTTCTCTTCAGATGATGGAGCATCATTTGCAGATGTGTGCGAATGAGGGAACTTTTCGCATTTTGGAACATCACAGTCTGTTCCAAAGGCTGGTTGATTTCTTCTTTTTAAATGCCGTTTGGGTGTCTGAACATCTGAACCAGTTCCTGTAAAGAGGAATAACACAGTTAATATTATATTACATACTCTTATATTATTGATTAGTTCCAATTAAATGATTTTATGTAATACCTGCAAAAATAGCACTTGTTTCAGTGCTCTGGGATGTATCCGGACTAGTCAGAGAAAATAGCTCATAAAGATCATTGGACTTGAAAAACCGTCTCTGTTTTGGATCTTTCAGCACTCTGTTTGTCAAAAACTGCTTGAAGATTTGTCTAAAATGATAAAAATTAAACTGGTGTAGGACAATGTTCAGCGGACGTGAAAATTCAAAATTCAAGTTGTAAAACAATATCAGATAAATATGAGAGCACCTGCACAGAAGGCTAAATAAGCCCCCAAACTTTCAGCCTTGGAAAATTACAATGTGGGAAGTATATAACACATCAGATGGTCTTGCATGTTACAAAACTTAAATTAGAAATAATATCTTATTGGGCAGCACCTGTAGCTCCGTGAGTAGGGTGCTAGCCTCATATACCGAGGGTGGAGGGTTCAAACCCAGCCCTGGCCAAACTGCAACGAAAAAATAGCCAGGCATTGTGGTGGGCCCCTACTTGGGAGGCTGAGGCAAGAGAATTGCTTAAGCCCAAGAGCTGGAGGTTGCTGTGAGCTGTGACGTCATAGCACTCTACCAAGGGCAACAAAGTGAGACTCTGTCTCTTAAAATAAAAAAAGAAAGAAATAATACCTTATTATATACATCCAGTAAGCTTTTTGAATCTCTGAAACCCATCACATTTCAAGAAATACCTTTTCGCACATATTCATATGACTCGCAGCCTCCCTGACTCTTAGACCAAGAGTGCCATCCCCTGCCCTTCCCTGCTTGTGGTAGAGCTCAGAAAGCTCCCTGACGTCATATTTGCAATATTTTCACTCTAACCAGTCCCCTCTATCTCCCACCTGCTGGTCCACTCTGCTGACACCACCATCATCACTCTCATACAGGTATCTCCACAAGGCAACACTGTCCCCTCCCTGTTGAGACAGGGAAGCGACAGGCGCTGCTTTGGGTATAGCACTGCCGCAGGTAAAGTCTCAAGATGAAATTTCAAATTGTCCTGATCAAAACAGAATGGAGACAAGGCAAGTTCCAACTAGTTAGAACCAAGATGGTGGAGGAATAGTGCCCCTTCCATGACTATTCCTCCTCTCGTTTAGCCCACTAAATAAGCAGAAAGACAACAGGAACCAGGGGACTGGTTCTCTTCTGCAGGGACAGCCAGTCTCCACTCTGTCTCTGGAGTAGACTTTCTATAGTTTCTGAATAAACCTCATTTTTACTTTATACTGTTGGCTTGTTCCTGAATGCTTTTGAGCAAAGCCAAGTACTCACTTGGAGTTCAAGTGGCTCCCAGCATTGGGAGTCACTTTTCCTGTGTCATTGTCTTTATTCTCCAAGCTAAAGCCTGTATCTCTAAGAGGAAGCTCTCTTCTCACAGGATTCAACTCCTCTCCTGCTCTCTCACAACAGGTCTTTGAAGAACTCGTAATATTCTAGGAGTGACCTAGTGCATGGTGCAGAGCAGGGAGCTTCCTGAAGAAGCCATGACATGACTGGGGAGGAAGAGAAGCTGGCAGTGCCTTGCCTCTACTGCTGAAGTTACTACCACCTAAAATCCCCTAGCCATTATACAGAAAGACAGAGGAAGAAATGGGTGTCCCATCAACCTCCAAGGGGCATCCAAGTCAAAGACCACCAAGACACCCACATGATCACACCTGCGTGGTGTGTAATTAAAGTCCAGTATGGTAAGTAGCATTTGACTTTGTCACTCTTAAAAATTTTTCTAAAAGTGGCACATGAGAGTATATGGAATATGTCTCTCAAAGGATAATATGAAGGATAATATGGATAATATGGATAACCCAAAGGATAATATGAAGTTACACATAAGTGATCCTTAAAGCAAAACAACACACAAGAATTATCAGGTTCAAAGACAATTCTTAAAAACACATACTAAGCCATCTAAGTTTTTTTTTTTTTTTTT